TGCCGCTACGTGCGGGCAGCGCGGCCACGGCCGGCCCTTGCCGGCCGTCCGGCAACTCCTATCGACTAATCCAACCTCAACTGACTTAACATTATCATTAACATGAAATAACTTGAAAACATGACTTCTTGCACGAAGAGCTGGACTCGGCCGCGGCGGGCGCACCGTGCGCTGCCGACGGCGGTAAGCCGTTTTACGACCAAACTTCATTTTTCTCTCAGCAATTCATACCTAACTGATCATGAACAATATAAATAGACATGAATGTTCAAAGGAGTATTTACTTAATGAACTTGATACGCATGAACGGCCCGTGGCTCGTGCTACATGCACGACCACGTCCTTCGGCCAAAACAACGACTGAACTTCATATTCTTTCGAACAACTTAAACTGAATAGACATGATATAATATAAAAAGGTTGATTACATGATTATTGCTCGAGAGACTTTGACTTAAAACATGAGCACACTCGCGATGCACACGCACGGACGAACAACTTAAAGCCGCACCATGAACATGAACAATTCGGAATTAAAATGACCTTAACATGAGTATTCTAAGGTAATCTGAAGTTACCTCTTTGAACCACTAACTGAGCGCACAAACTGATCTGAATAATCGGCTTCCGTGCGTGACGACGCTCTCGCATGCGGTGTGGGGTGCGTACTCGCCGTGCGGTACTCGCGGTAAGCTCGGGCGTGCGTGTGTACTCCTTAAGAATTCTCACAACTCTCAACTCTCCTTACTAGCATATATATGTACTTAGTAATTTAAGATATATAGGCTGAAGAAAATGTTGGGAAAATTTTCCCCAACGCTCTCCTTATATACTAACCGAAGGGAAAATTTTAAAGGATGACATGCCTTGGTGGCTTAAACACATTTTTCCACTTGCTACAATAATAAAAGGCTTAAGGTGATTAATCACCACAAAATTCTCCTAAGATGCCACGTTTAAGTATATGGAGGAGAGGAGAAATGTTGCCCTCACATGAAGAAATTTGCTACGACAATTTAGAATAGAAATTGGACAAAATTTAATAAGGCCACGGCAATTTAATTTATTGAAGCACAATAAGCTTAATTGCTTACGGCTTTTAATGACTAAATGTGATTAATTAATAATTAATCACTACATTATGCCTAATTAATTATTAAGCATAATACTTAATTACCAAAATTATTTCGAACGTAAACGGGACGTCGAAAATAATTTCGGATAATTTCGACTGAAAATAATTAATTCCGAAAATAATAATCTACAATATTATTATATCGGAACTAAAAACAGGATTTATATATTAAACTGACGGGATATTACACGCTTATCAAGGAGTATAGATATCTTCTTGAGTCTTCTATAAAAGGTAGCTGAGATGAGACAATTGAATTAGGATCAGGACCATTTTCTCAACATTCTTCAACTCTCGCTTTCCTCGACATGCCGGTCAATGAAGTCTCTTCATGGTACGGACATGTTGAGAAAAATCGAAGGTTGAAGAATTGAGTGATGGGTCCTTATCCTCCTGTTGTCCTTGAGGGCGCGCTCCCTTTCACCGTCGTAGCCTCCACAATCTAGTATACCTCGGAAGTCTAAGCACTCTTCCTGGAGATCCCACGTCTTCCCAGCCACATGGTCGTCTCACATTGGAAGCTAAAAAAATTGGAGGCTAAAAAAACTGTAGGTGACCATGTGTTTGGGAAGGCTTGGAATCTCCGGCGAATTGCTTGGTCTTCCGGGGTTTACTAGATTGAGTCGCCTACGACGGCGAAAGGGAGCACCCCTTCAAAGACAAAGGTGCTTGTTCTTCCGGGGTATACTAGATTGAGACTTTCAAATGTTTACCGAAAGTCAAACATGGGATGGCGAACACGTTCATGTCACGGACCAACTTGTTTAACCCCCCATGTTCCTCCAACTTCTGCACAGTCATCCAATTGGTTTTTATCTTTCAAGTTGTTGTTTAACTCTATGTTGTAGCCTCCTCTATCTAGTAATTTGTGTGCCCTTGTAAGGTTACTTGTAAACTATTTCAGTCGATGTAAAGTAGTTGAGTCCATGTAATTTTGCGACGTACATGCGTCGCATATTATTCTCCTATAAAAAATTAGTCGACAATTTGTGTGACGTTGTAAGGTTACTTGTAAACTACTTCAGTCGATGTAAAATAGTTGAGTCCATGTAAAATTGCGACGTACATGCGTCGCATATTATTTGCCTATAAAAAATTATTCAATGTAAAGTAATTGAGTCGATGCAAAATTACGACATATACGTCGCATATTATTCGCAGAATTGGTGCATTATTAATTTTTTTTTTAAAGTTCTGTCTGTGATTTAATAATAAATTGAAGAACACTACTATTAGGCGAAAGAACCTGCCATTATTACTCGAAACATTTCAGCATAAAAAACGCATAACACGAACTATAACGAATAACATCTATTTTATTATATTTGTTTTTGTAAATTTTCTATTTCGCGACTTACAAAATAGCGACATACAAATGTCCCATATTTTCCGAAGAGTTGGTAAATTTAGGAAAATTCTTGTTCTTTGACTAAATTAATAATGAATTGAAAAAAACTATTAGGTGAAAAAAAGCTGTGCGTAACACTTTTCGAAATGTGTTCGCATATTGATACATTTCTGCGAGGTTTTATATGGATATGCGATTCGTAAATATGCGATAACAATACGCATAATCGATAGTTATCTAGCCTTATAGATTTGGATATGCGAATCTCAAATTATGCGAACATATGCCGCATAATCCTAAATGATTGATTGATCTGGCCTGGATATGCGATTAAAAACTATAAATTACTTTTACTTTTTTCATTACGCTATGCGAACACAATGCGAATTATCGCACTTTATTCACAGTTCTGCGAATAATAATTATCGCACTTTATTATTGTTGCAGTCGGTCCAACATATGTCTGCCTTCTGACGGCACCTTTTGAAAAACACTTGCCACGGAACTTATGCGAACAATATGCGAAGAATTTTCGATTTGGATATGCGGTGCGGATAATCAATCAATGCGGTGCATAACTTATGCAAACAATAAGCGAAGCATTTTCGATGTGGATATGCGGTGCAGACAATCAATCAATGCGGTGCGTAACGTATGCGAATAATATGCGAAGCACTTTCGATTTTAATATGCGGTGTAGACAATCAATCAATGCGGTCCATGTGGATATGCGAAAAAAATGGCGGATAGTCGTAAATTATGTGGCTTTCGAGTTGGATATACGATTCGTTAATTATGCGGTTGAAGACTAGGCGAATCATCCCAGTTGTGCGATTATTATGGGATATGATATGGGAATCGCACGATCAACCAAATTGTGCGATTATTATGGGACATGTTATGCGAATCGCACAATCAACCCAGTTTCACTAATTTTTGTTAGTCAACTGTGTGCAGGTCACAAGTTAGGGCACCAACACAGTATTTTTCCCGTTAAAAGTATTGTTTTCGTTAAATTGGTTTACAAAATAAAACTCCATCTTCATCTTAATTGTCATGGATTGGACGTGATGGAAAAGATGACGATCTGTGACCTGTTTCTTTACATGTACGACATCTCCTCGGGCGTCTTGGATGAGGAGTTGGCGTGTTTTGACCTTCCTCATTTGAAAAAAAGTCATTATCACCATCGTATAGAGGGCACTTCGCCCTGTTATGTCCGGTGACCCCGCACCGTGAGCACATCTGCTGATGCCGTACTCGACGTGATGATCCTTCTCCAGCGGAATAACGTTAAGTCCGTGGCCGACCTGCTTGTTTGGGATCATTTGGCAGAATTACCTTTTTGCGCATAATTTCCGGGGGCAAGTGCCATTCATCTAGATGCGGGACGGGGCTAACGGTGCTTTGGTACATCCTTGCAACTGAGTAGGTTTTGTAATGGTCATTAACGAAATCCATTATATCTAACCCGGCTTCCCTGTTACATATCGTAAATGCACATCATATTAGAATATAACAATTTTTTTTTAAAAAAAAAAACGATAATGTTATTTGGTGAACATTACTGAATAGCCGTAGATGCATGTAAGCAAGGTAGTAGATCTGTTTCAAACACACGACAATCACATGTTCTTGACTCTAAATCTACCACGTAGGATCGTGTTTCTTCCATAACCCTATAACGTTGCATGCCGAGTGTGGTAATGGATAGAGTACGACCTTTCTCGAACAAAGGATCCAACCGCAATTGAGTCCACTGCGTTAGCGGATGATTGCGACCCTCGGCGGATGCACGCCGAACAGCAAATCATTTCTCTATCGTTGCTCGAACACACTCCAACAACGAGCAAACGGGTAACATCCTGGCCCAACGGAGTTTGTTGTTCAAACTTTCGCATGAATTGGATGTCATGAACCCATAGTGCCGTACAGGTGTAAAACACCTCGCCCAAGTATTTACCGGAATTTCACTAGTTAGCTTTTTAAATGCTTCGGGTTTTAGGCTTTGGATGGATGACAAGTAGCGATAGAAGTTTTCACGTCGATAATAATATGCCGCCTTGTAAAATATATCCAAGACGGATTTCCCAAAAGGCCTCATTTGTTTTGTGATGTGATAACAGCAAAATGAGTGATGTGCCTCGAGGAACACTATTGGGACAGAATATATGATAGACTCATGTCTATCCGATACGATGAGGAGGTTATCAGGACAACCATAGGCCCTTTTCAATTGAGTCAAAAACCAACTCCAAGTCTCACGACGCTCTACATCACCAATGCCAACTGCGAGGGAAAAGATTTGGTGATTCCCGTCCAATGTGGCTGCAACAAACATAATGCCCTTGTATATTCCCTTCAAGTGGGCACCATCTATCACAATCACCAGGACACCAGCTAGTTGAAAGCCCTCAATGCTAGCTCCTAGAGCAAAGAACAAGTGTTGGAATACCTCGCCAGCTCGTTGCAGTTCGACAATTGTAGCTGGATTACGAACCTACAACATGTGCAAGTAACCGGGAAGCCGCCCCCATGATTTTTCATGACCTCCATAAACTTTTTCAAAAGCACGGTGTCTTGCTCGTAGGGACACATTGTAGCTGATCGACAAACCATGCTCCTCCCACATTTGTTCAATAATTCTCCGTGTAGATACCGTCTGGGGATTTGTCTGAATAGTTGGTGCGTAAATATGAGCGAGAACCTTGGAATTAGCCGAACGGTGTCGATTGTGCGTCAAACTCCCTTCGCATGTATGCTCGAGTTTTAAAGTAGTGATTCTCCATACATCTCGATTTTCCCTTATACATAACTTGTAAGAACACCCTTCATACCGACAAATAGATAGTAACCTAGAAGTGCAGGATTTGGGTGTTCGACACTCAACTTTTTGTTGCAAGTGATATAGTTGGATGGCACAAATCAACTCTTCTCTCGAAAGAAAGACAGACCCCAAAGATAATTCTATATTGTTCGAGGGTAAGTGGATGGGTTGTCTATCTGATCCTGTTGTCGTGGGCGGCATAGGAAGGGACCACATTCGTGGCTCAACGTCGGATTGCCGGGTGCTACATCGATTCATATATGCAAGACTTTCAACCTCAATATGCTTGGTGATTAATCTTAGCTCTTCAATATGCTCGCTATACCAGGCCCTGAAAAGCTTGAACATTTGCTTCTCATTGACCTCTTTGTCTTCGTCTCCTGAGTCACCATTGTGCGTGTTGGTTTGGTCATCATTATTGTCATCGTCACGAGAATGACCTGGTTGGTTCGAACAACCCGCGGTTTGATCATCAACGCCCCGAGGATATCCAGTATGTGTAAATGAACTAGGGCCTGCTTGATGTGAATATAGGGCCTCCTGGGAAAATGCAGAACTACCAACACCAAAAGAACTCGGAAATACACCTTGGGACGCCATCATTTGCGTGAAGCTTTGTCGCGCCGTCCTCGGAATCCCTACATTTACTCGCTTCTCCAACTCCACGTAAATGTTGGGAGTTTTTTGTTCTTCAATCAGCTCTAATATATCCTCACTGGATTCGATTTTCATCTTCACAACTCGTTCTCTTCCATTAAATACTGCCCACAATATGTACTCAAAAATACAAGGATCGGCCTTCAATAATGCTTGAACACGAGAAACTACTTCAGAATACATTTGTCGGCCGTAATTTATTCTCATCAGCTCTGCCACTCGACCAAGATATGAACCCCTGGAAAACGTACCACCATAGCTCACACATACTCTAACACGGGTGCTAGCCATTCAAATAAGTGAATAAGTGAACAACAAAATGAATTAAAATGAAAGAAACAGAAAATTGCAGTAGAGAAGAATGGTGCAGACGTTTAATTGTTAGAGATCACTGTTTTTTGCCTGCATGATAAATGCACAGACAAAATCCTCACTTGTGAAAAAGCAGTCAATTAATGAGGTGCGTAACTTATGCGACAGATATGCGATCAAATTCCGAATAGTCGTAAAATTGCTATGACGATATGGACCTGCGAAAAAATGGCGCGTAATCGTCAATTAAATTATGCTTTATTCGATTTTGTTATGCGATTCTTCAACATGCGAAAGAAAAAATGCCGCATAATTGTAATCCGACGGATATATGCGAAAGTTTTTCGCATACTAGTAAATTATGCGATTGACTTGGATATGCAATTTTCAGGAAATGCGAATTCAACAAATAATGCGAATTATATGCGAAAATTTTTTGCAGAGTCATAAATTTGCAAGGTCGATATAGCCCTGCGAAATAAGATGCATAATCATCGTAAATTATGTTGCATTCGATTTTGATATGCGATTCTTAAAACTGTGAAAGATGTTCGCATATTTGTAAATTATGCGTTTGATGTGGATATGCGATTACAAAAATGCGAAATGCTTTCGCATAGTCATAAATTAGGCGTCCAGTTGGATATGCGCTGGTTTATTTGGACATGCGAGTGTAATATCGCATAGCATTTCGTGAATTTTGGGGTGTAAAATAAGTTATTTGATGGTGCGGTGTGTAAAAGAAGTTATAAGTCCTAACCCCAATTTCATATCAATATTCAATAATCAAGCATACACAGTAATCTCAAAGTCATTCCGGTAGTAATACCTGAGCTGGCGCGACACGACGAGAGTGAGTGGTCATATCGTAAAGTCGAAACATATAATCATATAATTCATGTTAACCAGTCTACAGAAACGCAGACTGGCTCTGATACCAAACTGTAACGCCCCACTTTTATTTAACGAAAATTCATGGCTTTCAAGAAAAATCAATTTAATTTTTCAAACTCATTTCAGACATTTGAGGCGTTACTCATTTATTTCCAAAATATTATCATATATATCAAAATACTTAGTCATAGCAATGACATCAAAACATATTCTACACCTTATCAAAGGTCTCATCCCAAGTCATAACTACCCAAATCGGGTTTTTAAAATTTTCAAAATAAAGACATCATAGTGTCAATGGGGCATCTCCCCAAACAATGTTTCAAACATAAATATCCAAGGTTCATAAATAAACTCAAATAGCGGAAGCAATACAATCAATGGTTTAGTCATCTAGACCGACCACCACTCGCCTTGCAACGTCGTGCCCGCAACCTGTTTAACCTGCATCCGCAAAGAGCAGGTGGGGGTGAGCATAAAAGGAAATCATAGTGCTCACCACTATGCACATAAATAACAAGTAATCACAAGATAAAATAGGTATGGTCGCAGCATGTATATGAATCAATCAACTATCACATCTCTTATCCAAAGTCATAAATAGTCTCATGTGCACACCTATATCAATAGACTACTACTGATACACGTATCGAATGCCTTCTCTCAGGCCTTACAACGATGCCCAAACAGTAGGAGTATCCCCCGAAGGCCCGGCTCCGCCATTAGACTTACAACGGGGTTCATAGCGTCGACCGAGCTCCGCCCTGGTCTCATCCACTGACCGAGCTCCGCCCTGGTCTCATACCGCTGACCGAGCACAGTCCTGGTCTTACTGGCGTAAAAAGGAGATTACCCCAACGGGGTCCGTTCTATAGCTACGGGGATAACTGTTCGACGGCCGGTACAGCTCACATCGAAGGTTACATGTTCACATGCATACATTGATCATACCCACATAAATAAAACATTTATCATTCATGGCATAAATAATTTTGAATAACCCACCTGGAAATCGAGGTACAATGTCGCACACAAAAGCAAGTACTTAGGTCGAGGGCTCGACTCCTCAAACACCTACATTTAAGCGAGATAATTTATCAATAATCTATCTCACTACTCGAATTTAACATAAAACCCATACATAATAAAAATTAAGACTTAAGGGTTTTGATCAAATTTTTCGTGGACTTGGAACTCTCTCATTTTTGAAAAAAAATAGGACTCGAAGAATTAAATTAAAGTCTCGGGACTTAAAATAATTTTTTTTCCATTATATTTTTAAATTTATAAATATTTTTAAAATTGAAAACAGAATTAAAACGGGCTCCGAAATACAAAAATTGGCTACATGACCATAGACTCACACACTGGGCCTAATTTGCTAAAGAATTGGGCCTACAAGCCCAATTGGGCCGCTCAAAAAAAGGCTTGAAGGCCGCGGGCCGTGGCTGGGCCACTCGCGGGTTGCAGCTGGAGTAAGAGCGGGCCGCGCGCGGGCTGAATTCTGGCCCTTCGGCCCGCGCTACTGGGAATTAAAGAAGAAAAGAAAAAGGGAATGGAAACTACACAAAGCAGATTCGAACCCACGACCTCTCACGCGGAAATGAATGCCCAATACAACTACACCAGCACTTCTTGTTGCAACATAAATAGAAATCTAATTCTACAAATTTAAACTGACAGCCTGCAGATATGACAAACAACAAGAAAATTGAACAGAGGCTGCGACACAGGTTCTACAGAATTACAACTACGATTTTACAAGAGGTTCGAACATTTACGACCATAACAATTTACTCTGAGTTTTGAAATCTTATAAAAACGAGTTTTATTGGTTCAAAAAAAATGAAACGACAAAAAATACAGTTCGAAATAACGAACAACACATTGACGACGATAAAGTTCAAACCATAGAAAGAGGCTCCGAAACAACAAAACGAGACTCCAAACCTAACCAAAATAATCTCAGCAACGTTACGATACTCGATTTTACGAAATCGAGAGTTCCAATCATCCCCAAAAATTCCACGAACATACAAAATAAACAACAAACATAGGAAACGACAATTATACCGAATTCGAGACCCAACGAAGGATTCAACGCGAACGAAAATAAATGAACGATATCATCCCGAATAACAATTAGTAAGAGGATTTCGAAAAGGTTATCGTCTTCGAGAATATCGAAACAACGGGTCGGACAAACGGGGTGACGGGACTCAAAAGCTTGAAGAGACACCTCGAGAACTCGGAACTCCTCGAATATGTCGCTGCTTGCGACTGGATGGACGTACTGGTTGCTGCGGGACCTCACCTTGACAGACAGCTCGATGGCGGCTCAAGCTCCCCGGCAATGGCGGACCTCAGGTTGCGTGGGCTTTCGAAGGTTGAAGGGCTGCAGGTGCTTCGCGAACGGTTTACGAGGCCTGACGGAGACTGACAGCGGTTGATGACGGTAGCTGGAGTGCTCGCCGGAAAGAATGGTGAGC